GCCCCTCCGTCGTGGGGAGGGAGCAGCGCACCCACCCGGGCGGCTGGGGAGCGGGTAGAGCTGTCCCCTACCGCGGGCTGAGCCGTGCGGGAAACTTACCGGGGGAGGAGTGAGCGTGCTGCACTGCTCCAGCGACTTCCCGCTGCCGTTCATTCATCTCCCAGCGCGATAGGTAAACAGTCCTCCTGCCACGGAGACCTTTGCCAGGCTTTGTCGAGGGGAAGTTCCGATTAGAAAATACCTGCCAAACAGCGGCTTTGAAGTCTTTTTTTTTTTTTTTGCTTGTAACCGTCCCTCCGTACGTTCTTTTCGGGTTTTAGAAGGTGGCATGTCCCCAGCTATGCTATTTCTATTGATACTTCTGTTCTCCCTAAATGATTTAACATGCCTTCAACTGTGTTGGTCTTGGCAAATACAGCTTACAACTTTTTAATGCAGTCGTTATTAGTCTGTCACGATTGACTTGTCACTTAAGTTGAGTTGTAAAAGTGTGCAGGGGAATGCCAGCTGTGATTTCTAGGGGTAGACTGGCTTTGAGTGCCGTTTTGTCAAACTTTTCTGTAGCTTTAAGGCCTAGCAGCACTTCTGACGCTTACTAGAAATGCCTTTGTACTTCTAAAGTAGATTACTAGAAAAGGTCTTGAATGAAAACCCCGGGTGATTTGTCAGACTTGAGAATGAAGGGATTTTGATGCATTTTCGTTTGTTTTTCAGAAAAAGAGCAACAGGAAGCAATTGAACACATTGACGAAGTACAGAATGAAATAGACAGGTAAACGTGAACAAACTTTAAATGTTTCAGCAGAAATTGAAATGTAACTTTCAAAAATAAAAATATTTAGTAAAGTAAGCATTCGGTAGTAGTTCTCGCTCCCTTTAAAGTCTGCTAAGATATACTTGTGTTCAGACTCGATTAGATGCAAGAGGTTTTTGTGTATGATAAAAAATGTGAAGTAGTATCCTGGTTTCTTGTTTAATTGTGTAATAAAAAAGGTAGAATTTGAGTTTAAAATTTCAAATTCACTGTGAGAGTTTTGATAATAGAAGTTTATTTCTTACTGTTTTTCAAGTTAACGTGTATGCTATTTTACGAAAGTATTTTCATGTTTGTAAGCAGAACCCAAAACTTGGTTGGAAAGTTAGCTTTTATTACGCATTTTTTTGTTACATAGTCACGTGCTTGTAGAATAATATTTAGAAAGTGTTACTGAAATGTTAGTTTTGTATTCCAAAACTCTTGAGTGGGCTCTGTGTCGGTACTTGCCTGGACCCTATCTCCATGCACACTGCCCTACAGAGTCCGCAGGTGACTGTTGAGGCTCTGGCC